ATCTGTTCACGTTGCAAATCAACAAGTTCTTCTGTGTTGAGTTCTTGTCTGTGGTCCTCCACTAGATCCATCACATCATCCTCGTTGACCTCCAAGCTCAGATTCGTGCCAATGGTCACAATCTCGTTTACTAGAGTTACAGCTATCTCCTCAGAGTCGCTATGAGGCACACAGCCCACAACCTGGCCAAAGTTTCCTCCAGGCAGATTGCAACGTGCGGTTAGAGACTTTGTTTCATGCCTTGTCAATGAGGTATATGCAGTGGAGGATATAGAAGTGATCCTTCCAAAAATCACGCAGTGTCAAATTCGAGTCGTTGGTCACCTGGAAACACTTGGAAAAAAGAGCCTTCGTATATAACTTCTTGAAGTTGGAAATTCCTTGCCGATCCAAGGGCTGGATGAGAGGAGTGGTGTTAGGAGGCAGAAATCTGTCTGTTATGAAGTCGTACCAAACATCAAGGTCTTCTTCCATACTATGAGGATGGGCAGGAGCGTTGTCCATAACCAGCAGACACTTAAGGGGCAAATTATTTTCCTCAAAGTACTTCTTGACAGTTGGCACAAAAACACTCTCTCCAGCAAGCTGCTTTTCATTAATCCGAACTAACAATACTTTTTCTAGTTCTTCTAACACATGAGATCTTTTCTTCTATAACATAGTCACTCCTTTAGCCACAACAACCGTCCTTAGAGCATCTTTTTTCTTTAAGATAGTACAGATCGTAGATTTAGCTGTCTTACTGCTTGGCGAGATCAGAAACACGAACACCATTCTTATGTTTACTTATTATTTCCTTCTTCGTTTCAAATGCAATACGCTTAGGCTTCGTTACACCACTGTCACTAACACTTTTCATTTTCTTGAGAGCTATAATGAAGGTTAATTTAATGCAAAAAATATTTTATATACAGTGGTACCTCTGGTCACGAACAACTCGGCTCATGAACACAATATCCGAGCAGATTTTGACCGGTTCGGGGGGTTTTGTCCGGTTACTCCAAAGTCACGTTTTGAGGTCGTGCGTCGAGGCATTGCACGCGGGTCCAGTCAAAGTTTGTTCGGAAATTGTGTTCTTGACTAGAGGCGTAAGTGACTCGAGGTACCACTCTACTTAATTTTACTGTAACAGTGTTTACCTTATCTTCAGGTTAAATTACTGCTGTAAACTGAACTTTGTGCTTCGAACTACCATCATCGTCATCCGTTATCGCTTCTCTTTTTAAGTAGCGGAGGCAGACGCGTCAAACAAAGCTTCCAACGTTCCCGATACTGTGCCAGAGTCTGAGCTTCGTTAGAAGACAACTGGAGTCTGGAATAGGGACTCCTTCCATATATTTGCACCAGGCTACTCTTGGCCGCCCACTGGGTCTTCGGCCGGTAGGTGGAGCATGAAACACTTGCTTCGCCTTCCTTTGTAGAGGCATTCGCAACAAGAGCCAAAACCATCGCAGCTGTGACTTTTCAATCTGGCTAGGCAAAGGCTGTACAGGCTCTCATGGATGTCGGTATTTCGGACCATGTCGAGACGCGTAAGGCCAACGACTCACCTAAGAATGCCCATTTTAGCAGGTTGTACCCGGGTTTGAAGTTTATCAGTCATGGTCCACAACTCATGACCGTGCGTAAGTATAGAGATATTGATCGACTTAAATACCGAGAGGTACTTCAAATTAGCTCGATCCCGTTTTCTCTTACTTAATGCATCCTTGTATACAAATCAATTTATACTGTTTTCGTTTTGCATTAGAAAAACGAAAGTTTCCTAATATCTAGCGCTTCAATATGCTGAAAAAATTAAAATCATGAAAAGTGCAAAAATAATAATTCGTCTCATCCGAACTAAAATAATTTAACACAATGGTTTTTGAACTTTCAACATACGCAATATGCCAATACGGTAATACGCGGTCTTCACAGCATTCTTTGCGACATAAAGCAGAACTAACGGCATAATTAATGAGCAGTCATATCTGCTGCCACCTGGATGCGCCTGAAATCACCTAGCAATTGTTTATTTCTTGTTGATATCTGATGCCATTCTTTCGAAAGGAAGAATAGTTGTAAACGAAGATTTATTATTTTTCATCCTGTAAATTATGGAATCAGAAGATATACCAGCAGCCTCGTTAGAACAAATTAAAACATATAAGTACTTTGAAACTGATGGCACGTGTCCTCTTTGACAGCTACAAGGTGGCATGTAAGAACAGTTGCACAGTGAACCAGAATTTGGACTTCACAGTACACTATTCATGTTTTTGCAGTTCTCTTCTGGGCTTACAGAATTAACGAAATTTTGTGCACCTCTTTGATTATCAAATAGCATAAAATATAGATATCATATTGTTCACAAATTGTTAAACATTTTACTTAACGGAGAGAACAATTGCCCGCTCGTCAAAATAATACCAGGTACATTAACGAATTGCGTTCAAATGAACGGAAGGTATAACAACCGCATAACAGTTATAGTCAGTTAAACAGTGAATCTAGAAAATTGCGGCTCTTAATGACGTTGTCATCACATGATACGTTCAACTCTCATTTTTCAATGGCAACCGAATGAACTCGATTTGCTCAATCGATAAGGTGCTGCACGATCTCTAAGACCAGATGACACGGCATATTGCTCACGCCGTTTGCTCCGAGATACCTGGGTGAATTTTAACTCTTAAACGTGGTAATCTGAACTTCGAAGAGATCACTCGCTATTTTACCGTATATCCGTAACCTACTTTTAAATGCCCCTTCAGGCAACTAACATCAAGAGGCGGTACGATTCACCGCGAAATTTGGTTTTCGACGAATTATACTACAGGTGATTACGAGCTAGAATAATCACCGACCTTCAGACAATGTCCTTAAAATAAGATATTATTTGCTGATGGAACAAAAACGGAGGTCAGAGAAGTACAATAAGCTCCGTGAATTGGGCGGTGCTTTAAATGATGCCTGCCATGCAAGTGCAAGGGAAACCAACTTTACAACGGTTGCAAACTTTTCTTGTACGATTTCACTTTCTCCATGGCAGATTAACGCTGCTTGATCAAAGGCATTCCCATTTCACACCAGAATCGACGTTGAGCATGAACTGTGGTCGACAGGCTCCTGGTTCTCAAGAGAACACTAAGTTGACTATGTAGGCAGACAATACAGAACAACAGCTGCTCGGTTGTGAGTTTCGTACGACCATCTCTTTCAAACAAAAAACTATGGCATATCCGCAGTTTAATCGACGTTTACTCAGCAAAACCGAATATATCGACGCAATGAATATACTTAGAGCGCGTTCTACTTGCGAATCTAGGCAGAACGCCTTCAGAAACCAAAAAAACTACCATGAAAGAAGAAATACGATTCAAACTAACCACAGACATAATAATAAGAAACGTTTCATCAACAGAAACAGAAAAATGGATCAAAAAACAGTTTTATAAATAAACTATACGTAATAGAACTAAATATGATACACATTGCCTTTGTACAAATTACGTATTTTCTTCTCTGGGACAAATGTACACACGGAGAGGTGTGGCGAGCGCTCTGAGCAGCACCCGACAGAGTCAGCAGCAAAGCTGTCAGTCGGTAGGTCAACTGACCGAAAGACCAGATGTACGCCCCGTCCGTAGGTTAGGACCACAGGTTCAGGGGTCGTCAGCCGTCTAGACAACACACAACGGGGCACTAACGTTAACGTCGAGACGGTGATAATACAGAGTCTGGTCTGTCACGAAGAAGCAATATATAAGTGACCTCTTGATGCTGCTGCTGCCTCCGCTGCGTGAGTGCATGCGAACGGCAGATTTATGCAAAGACGGACACGTAATAAGTGAATGACGTCGGAAAAAAGTAAGGGAACAAACGACTGTTAATTTCTACAATGGCCCAGCTGACGCTCCGTTGCACAGCATACCACCAATGTGACAGAGACTGTTGCCCTGCACCTCCATCGGCGATTGGTAGAATCGTTCCTGGCGGTCGATCTCATCGCGTAAACGGGCCTCAAGCTCCTGAAAAGACTGCCCTTACAGAAAACACAGACCACATCAACATTCTGCACTATAATAAACATGATCTTAGAATTTAAAAGAATGCGATGGTTAGAATAGCGAGGACAAAGGTAACGCTAATCAAGATCATTCTAATTTTATCAGAAAGGCATTAAACTCGTGGGCAAAATATAAGTCCGATGTTCAAGGGGACCTCTCGATACCGCCGCCGAAGACATCACATTAATTTTTTAAATAATTAACGAATATGAACTGATTTCTAAAGTGAAATCTTCAGCAGCGACGTCGAGAGGTCTCCAAGAACATTGGGGTTATATTTCGTCCATCGTTCTCCAACGGATCGTGGCAATCTTAGCTGAATTTATTTTTATTTAACTCCAGTTTGAGACGCGGTCCTACTGCAGGACTCTGCTCTGCAGGCGCTTAAATACCATGGAGCCGTGGCCTGCTTAAATGCTCCCCCCCCCCTAGGCGTCTAGAAGCAAGGGGGCGGTGCAACAGAGCTGCTGGCGTAAAGTGAGAAATAGACTTTTCTTTCTTTACGCTGTGAATTTTCGCCGTCTCAATCCGGTATCAATATTTCTGATGTGGCATTAAACTGAGTTTATTAATAAATTACCAGTAACTAAACATTACAAACTTAACGGTAATAAGCTAACCCCGAAGTTAAAATATGAATTTAACATGAAGCTTTCTGAATCCTAGAACGGTTATTGTTGACGAGGAAGCAATAGGAATAGGTATGACCACCTTACTTTCTATCATAGTTTGAATTAATTCTATTCTCCTTAAGCTACCACCTCATTCAACTGCTTCGAAAAAGTAGGAACAAACTGGAGAGCATCAGAAGAGCTAAATTTCCAGCAATAAGCTTTGCCACTTTTGCCTGAACAACTGTATCATAACATCAGTCGTGCTACCTCATTCAGAAGCATATATGAAACAAATTCAAACCCATAACAGAAAAGAAGCCGCCACATACCAAAATTTCTACGAGACAGATTAAGCTCAACGAAGGAAATAATTTAGTCACTTATGACGTTTCGGGTGAAATTCATTAAGAGGTCATAGGAGCTTTAATAAAATACATTTTCAACTTGAATGAGCGATAAATAAATAATTTCGATGAAGAAAGAAATTCCTTAGCATCAGCTCACTTGTTTCCTTGGTTTCAAGTTGTTTTTCCAGGTTTTCATGTCCGCATTGAAGTCGTCGTCGCACTGCTTCAGTTGAGCGTTCTCGTCTTCAAGTAACATTTTTCGCTTTTCGTGCTATAAAGCCAAATACAGTACTGTTAAGAATGCTAATACAATGAACACAATATAACGCAACACAACGCCATATAGAGACTTTGCGAATAGTTCGCAAAATCAAACAACATCGTATTGCACTATTTGTCGAAAGTTCTTAATCAGTTAGCTGGCTAAAAAGCAGATTTAATTCAGATTTTTCATGTAGCAACACTACATGGAAAACGCGAATCCACCAACATTAAAGAAGCCTTTGTTTCAAAGACATTATTTAAAATGTAGATTACACTATACTGGAGAAGAAAGGTGAAAGAAAGGTCCAGATACGATTAACAGATCTTTGCTTTTTTTGAGCAACAGATGTTCAAAATTGTTTTAGTTCATAACATAACCCCACTCGCCAAAAAAAATGAAATTCGACAGGACAGAATCTACTACGTTTACTAAAAGGAGATGAGCTCTTTTCAGGACCGCTAAATTCTGTTTCGTAGAAAAACGACAAATATAATGCGTACCTGCGACTGCTCTACTTCCTTAATCATAACCTCGTTCTTTGCCTGCAGATGTTCGAAGCGCTTTTGGTGCTTCAGCTCTTGCTTCTTCAACTCCTGTTTGACCCGTTTGCTTTCCTTATCCTCGAATTCTCGGATCCGTTTGGCCAGTTCAATGGAATCGACCATGTGAATTTTCTGCGATTCCCTGAAGATCAGAGTTCGAGTCTTTGCCTCTGATCGTAGGTTTTTCGGCAAGCGCTTTTTTTCGGCGGTGATAATTCGCAACAGTTCTTCAGTTCGCCTCTGGGCGAATCGCTTGACGTGGTCCAGCTCCTGAAATCGACCACCTTCATCACGCACGAATTAAAAAGGACAACTGAAGGACTACAAAAGAAAACCGTCACCGTCATGCTACCTTGTCGTGCCTGGCCATCATTTGACTTCGCCGTAACGCAAACTTGTCCTTCCTCAGCTTTTTATCCAGCTGATGTCTGTCTTGAAGATGCCGCTCTTCGACGTCCCAAATTGCTGATTCTCGTGCTACAAAGACCATATGTCAAAATCTTCTTCGTTTAAAGAGACTGACTGACCGCTAATCAAAAATTGGCTACACCGTCCATTTTACCCTGTCCTGTCATACTTTAGAAACCTAACAACACTCGAACGCATAACCGTATTACCAACGCAACTGAACAAGTTTCCTCAGTGTGACATCATCGGCTGTTTTCTCTGATCATAGATTATTAGCATGACTCTAAACGGGGAAAGGAGCTACATATTTCAATTTAACTGATTTGTACATAAAACTCCTTGGCACTAGTTTTTGTTAGATGTGTAACAATCAGTTGTTTATCAATGCGGCAACTGTTGACCCAACCGCAACTTAGAGATCTCACAGCTAAACCCATCCCTGAGTATAACAAGTTAAAACTTTAAACGCAAACACAATTACGCTACGTCACAAACACATGCCCCGAAGCCAGGCTTTGCGTGGAAACTCTAGAAATTACAATTTTACAACCTTTAATTAAATAATGACTTCCAGCATATGTAGGCGTACCTCTTATCATAGCGTGCTTCTGGTCAAGAAACTGACGTTCCAACATAGCGATCCGTTGGCGGTGCTGGCACTCCATTTTCTGAATTGCGGTTGCTTTTTCTTCTTGTAATTGCTGCTCAAAAAGTCTTCCCTAGAATTGTTCAAAGTAACTGATACAGATAAAATATAAATACAGATAAGATACTCTAGCTAAACTGTACCATCCCCTTTTTCAACAAAACATTCAGTCACAAAACATACTTCTGTTTAATCCTGATGTATTAGCTTTTGAAACAAAAGTGGTCACGATGTAACTAACATAATAAAAGGAAGTATAGTAACCTCAGTGACGATGAAGGTGAAAATAACTAATGACAATTATTACAACGATCAGTACTGCGCTCATTCATGCCTCTGTGATCATAAATGAGTCCCATCAATGCATTTAATATGTCGTAAAACAGCGACCCGTCAGAACACTTACTCGCTGTTATTACAGCTTCTCATATTTGCATGCACTTTTCTTCTTTCGCTCCTTCTTCGCATGCACAATCACAGAAACCTGCTTTAAGTTTCGCCATGAATTTGTCTGATAAATTAGTTATCTGATTTAGTCGTTGCAGTTCATACTACACATCCATCTGACAATTCGCACTTCAGCTATCTGTTGTTGGAATATTTAGTTTGACTCCACATTCAGCTGCGTACAATGGTATTGAAATTCAACTACTGTAAATGACCATATTTTCCGATTCTACGGTCAGTGGTACCTTGCACTGGCTAGCCATCTATCTCTCTAAACGCAATCAGTTTCTACACAGCTCAATAGACGCTAATCTTGAATTCCACAAAACAACTCAGGTATTCTGCAGGGATCGGTAATATCTCCGCTTTTCTTACGCTGCACACTAATGCATGTAAAATCAATTCGCCAAATGCATAAATGAATAAATGCATAAAATATGCTGACGATACCCTGATACTAACTGCGGTTACTTCAGTAAATCAGAGAGTCTCCCAAAATAATCCTGTACGGCTATTTTTATTCAGCAGCAGCATAGAAAATGGCTTACTCATTAACTATAGCAAAACCAACGAATGCCTGTTCCGGCTCAAGAAACCTCCCGGTTTTTAACTAACAGCCTCCTCCCTCTATTTCACTACATAACCAGAAGATACATAGAGCTACCAGCATGAACCAACTTAATGTTACCTTAGACAAAAATCTATGCAAATGCACAAAAAGTATTTGGCAAGGTACGACGGCAAAGCTGTTTTCTGAAACGCCCAACCTGATTACAAACATCAAAAGGCAACAGAGAACTACTTCTAAAATTCTGTATGCCATGGACATGTTATATGAGATCTCACGTCTATCTAACACAAAACTATTGTTAACAAAGATAAAATGAAGAAGTAAGGATTATTTTATGGCCAGCTTCTTTTAGTCACGATAGCTGGTAATGACGATAACGTCGCTACAGCCAAAGTAACGACAAATTTCAAGTGTACAGGCAAATAAACCATGTCCGGCATGATTATATAGGACGCCTTTCCTGTGCTGATCAATTCTGATAATGTAAAACCAATTACAGTCATCGCCGTTTACCTGATTGACAACATTCGTTAATCTCTTGCTTAGAAAGTGCTCAAGATTCTTGTATAATAAACCGTCAAGAAAGTTAGTTTGCAAAACAAAACATGAGGCTTTATCATTTTAACCGTTGTCCACATATGTCTAGGGCAAGAAAAAGTAACAGGTGACTTTAGTGGAAGATGTGAAATGACCAAATTTAAAGTTTTTAAAATATTTAAGTCTTTGGTTTTTGACATATCAGCCTTTCCGATAAAAAACATTTACACACAAACTAGTGCTGATGTTTTCTGTAAACAGCAAATGAAAAAAAGGATTAACATCTACTATCAGATTTCAGAGATACTACGTAGGAGAACAAGGGAACCGCGTTACTCAAAGAAAGAGCTGTCCCGCGAGTGAAGACGGATGATCGCCTAGGAGCGTATGCTACATGTGGTAACGAACCACCCGAAAATAAAGCCTAGCCCATAGCCAAGGAAAGGAATTCTGGGAAAAGACATCTGGCATAATGAAGCACGCGATACACGAAGGACATGATGATGACAACGCACCGCATGATCCGAGAAAGGCATTAGTTGCACAGGCGCATCAAAGAAACATTAATCATCAAGTTCTGCACAGCGCCAAACAGAACCATGGCTACGAATCTGGCGCAGATGGATGAGCCTTGTCGTCCCTATCACCTAGAAACTACTTAATCAGCAGCACAAACTAAAAACTCAGGTTCTGGCTCAGCAAGCGCCATCCGCTGCGGACAACAGAAGGACCTCCGAAATCAGTCAATCAATCTCCTTACCTTGAAGAGACAGTTGCAGAAATGTCTGTGCTGGTCAATTGTATGATTAACTACCTTGTTTGCACTGTGTACAAATAAACCGTATAAATAGATATAAATATGCCGTATAAACGTCTGTAAACAGAACAGGTATAAATTGTAAATTTAAAACGCGCACCAAAACGTTGTGCTGAATTCACTCCATTTTCGATTCTACTACAGACCAACAGCAAATTATTGCTGTTATTGTTGTTTCGTCATCGTCATCTGAAGCTATCAAAAATTAAACAACAGAGTAACCCATATTAATGATGTCTGACCATTGTAAAAGGCACTTGAGCTTCATATTAGGAAATGTTTAAATCCTTATTCGAAATGTTATATTCCTTTTTGCATGCAGTTTGTTTGCGGCTAGTGATAGATCTCAAGCGAGAAAAGTTTCGAATATATTTCTATTCTCTTTCGGGGCCGCATTATCTAACTAAGCCAGGCGGCGGTATCTCAATTAATCTGAAATTTTTAAGACCGCCTGCTGGGTCCATCACACTTTCAGAATACTTCGCACATAGTCCTACTGAAGGCTGTCTTGTCTATTCTCATTATGCTTGACGACAGATGATGTTTCGAGACTGTCCATTAGCAACGCGAATACGTCTACCAACTTACAGGATAGTAAACATTGTATCAGTTCTTATATTTCGATCCCTCGATACGCCGCATAGGTTGAGAAATTCGCCGATGACATTCTAATACTTAGTCCACTATAGGATTAATGTCCCCATGATTAGCCAACACATATCTGAGGTACTTGAAATGGTCTATATCGTCCATCGTAATAAAGTCATAGAGTATCCTCGGACTAATCGTCGTCTTCTAGTCGCTGAAATGCAGCACCACTCCATAACAGCGTTGCATATACCTTTGGTGAGTATCACAGCAATACACAGGGGCGAACTCCTTGTTCAAAAAAATTAGCAATACGAATATAGGAATAAGTAAAATTTTTGACAGGTCAATGATCTGAAGCCTGAAATCTTACATATGTAAAAAATACCGTTAATAATAAGCGTTATATTGCGAGGAGCAAGCCGCTAAACATAAGAACCATAGAATATTCATTATTTCACATTTTAACCTAAACGACTACCACCACACATGAGATATAAGATGGGTTCCCGTAATGAGTGACCAGGTCACTCATTAAAAAAACAAAATGGCCAACAACTGCACAATTTTACAAAATGTTCGAAATTCAGTGGTTGGTCAGAGGTAAAAAATGTACGATGGAAAAATGGGTAAACAGCAGGCATACGTTTGTAATAACATAAACACCGTTCACTGTTAGACACGATCAGTTGATCCAACACGATGCTCGAAAGCAAGCTCACCTTTTCCATCTGCTGCGCGTCCAGATATTCTTTACGTTCGCGGTAATAGATTTTTCGCGTGGCACTAGGTCGTCTGTCTGATTCTTGCTTGAGCAACTTTTGTTCGGTTTTGATCACGTCGCGGAACATGCGAATGTTCTTTTCCTATAGATGGAGTGAACGATCGTTAAGAAGGTTGCACAACGAAAAATAAACAAAACACGGATAATCACCTGAGTCGTGATCAGCTTCTTCAGCATACTTTTGCTTTCGTCCTCCTGCTGACGTTCGATCTCTTCAATTTGCTTTTTCTGTGATCTTGTGATGTTCTCCAATTCAATGTCAAAGTGTCGTTGCACCTCCTTAAGAATAATCTGGTGAGCAAATCACAAGTAACCGCAGTGGAATAAAAAACGCCTACCTTCAAATTCTGCTCAAACATCTTCGCTTGCTGATCGAGTTGAAGCTGAATCTTAACCAACAACCGCTGCCACTGACGATTTTCTTCCCGTTGCATTCGTTTCAGCTCTTGAAGTTCCGCTTTCCTTCAACAGCGAACAATACTTCATTTAAAGGTTTAAAAGATACAGCTTTCGCATTAAACCGCTTTACTGGAAAAAATAAACAAACATTGGGTCTATTTAAAACAATGACTAATCAAAATGGGCATAAGCTGACTCTTTTACGCCATCTAACATTCTTTCAGATGTAATAACCAATTAAAATAAGATTAAGGATCGTAACCAAATCAGAACTTTATACATGCATGGGGCACTAATTCAGCTTAGCAGAGGACAGGGACACCTGTAAAGATCCGAAGGCTTATCTATATAGATGTAGTCTATAAAATATGTTTATTAGCGATGCTCTAATCAAAGTATCCTGATAAAAGAGCTCATAAAAGTCAATCTGTTGCCACTTCACAAAAACAATAGCTATGGTAATAGAGCTAAAATCGAGCCACACTGATGGAGTGAATATGGCATGGCCTGTAGGTAAAAGATTGTAGTGGAATAAGGGCAGAAACTGGTGCTGTAAAACTAACTAAACGAACAAAACAAAGTATAGGATTAACTAAAATACATATATTCCTAATTTAGAATAATATAAACCTGCTACCACTACGCACAATATTTCATATATCAATGCATCTAATATTTTAATCTTTAAAAAATAGTTTGGAAACAATTTAAATGCTTCATGCAGGAATATGGCTCTTCGCTATGACAGTATTCAAAGGGTTGGTCTGCATAAACGTCATATGTACAATTTGTTGGACAACATGCTGTTCCATCTTTAGCACAAATTAATAAGGTTATTCCTTCTATATTCATCTGTGCTGAAGGGGCATCTCTGTAGGTTCCGGAAACTAGTTATGAAATATTTTATTCGGGCTTCTAACCATCTTTTTCTTAATCTAACAAATGTAAATAACTGAAACAATATTTGTATTTTTTAGTCTGACTAAAAACTGAAGTGCTAATGAAATATAAAGTAAAATTAGCAAGCACGGTGAAAAAATTCTTAAAATGCATACTCGCTGCATGTATTTATGGTTATAAAATTATTCTCATTATTCGAACACATTTTGATGTCGGTGATGCTTCGGAAAAAATGCTATTAATAAGAAGTGCTGCACCGTCATATAAAACCGTACTTATATGTCTATACTTCACATGTACTCCTGATCTATAAGTTGTTAAATTCCCTTTTAAGTATCTGAAATCAGAGGACGTCATAATAACACCGTATAAGCCTGCAAAATGCAAACAGATTTTTGAAACTCATTCACATTCTGTCTTCTTTAGCAACAAATTGTCAGTTTGATGGTTTTAGATACAAAAAATAGAGAGATGGTAGTCATTACATAGGCATTACAGCCAATACACTGGCCATTCCAAGGGAAAACAATCTTGGCAATTTAATCTATTTTTCGCATGTTTTTATATGCAATATATCCACAAGGTAAATGTACAATTAATGATGTTTAAGAATCAATTCCTGAAATATTAATGAATTTTTGTCGAGTAATATGCCACATTATTAAAGTACCACTTTCCAGTACTTTATTAATCACCATTCAACCAACTGTTATGGGACACTTAAGATATGGTAAGCAGATCAGCTGTAATACGCCACACCGATTACTTGATTTTAAAGTCTTCCTTCGCTTTATACAAATGCGAATCGGCATCGACCATAACGTGATACGTGGTCGACGTCATCTGCACACCTTCTACCATGTAAACGCGAGTTTTCTTTGTTACTGTTCTTCTGTGTTGATTCTTTCGTACAAGAGGGCTAAGTTTCTTCTAAAAAAACGTAAGGATTAAATTAAAATATGCAAGTTATTGCTTTTTTCTACCACTGACCAAAAGTCGACCATAACACTGAGGAGTGGTATGTATTCAATGTTTATTGACAGAGCCAACAGATCGATACTAAACACTTCATTTTACTGCGAACGTTTCGGTTAAAGATTTGTAATCCTCACAGCAAACAAAATTGTTTGTGGATTATAGGCCCTGAGGATGGCGAAATGCTGCTAGTAATAGTTTAACATCAGTCTTTTGACTATGTCTACAGCCAGCAAATTCAAAGTTTTTATACCGAAGAATGTAACATAGAATACAAGCAAATATTCGAAGCCGTTGCTAAGAATCCAAAATTTTTTATTTAATTAGCGCAATATCGCATTTGGATTACAGTTTTTCCAAAGTATGAGATCAGCTATGAGTTTGTCAATGTTTTCTAATCGATCACTTTGCTTTCCAAACAGGTGCATTCATCAGCAACCCCTGTATATCGGCATTAATACGGCACCATAACTATGTCTCTTTACGCTGCACTGCGAAGACAGCCTCAGTAAAACCGCATCCTCATTTTCTTAAGCTGTTACGCACAATCAATATAATGAAACCGTACCTGGCGCTCCTCCGTAGGCTTCCGCAAAACAACAGCGGTATCTGACACCACGGGACCTGTTCTGTCGATCTCTTCAATACTAGCGTTCATTATAACCGGTCTTCGCTCTAAAATCGTACGATAATGAGACGCAAACGAATCACGAAGCAAATAAAAAATATCAGAAAACTCTTGTGTCTTGTTACTGAGCTGTCTGCTTAAAATACTCCTTCAATTATCTTATCGAAATCCAACATCTTAACACATTACACACGGGATAGGGTCGATTAACAACAATTGCGTGTAGCAGTCGTAAAGCAGCTCTGATGAACCCCGATCTAAAAGGCAGTTTCCAGTCATCAAGGAAAAGGTCGTGCGAAGCATCGAAATGGTATCTGTTACCAAAATGCCCTAGTATTTTAACAATTATGGTCATCTTTGAGATAGGAAGGGTGACAAGAGATCGTTTATTAGCTTTCAACACTGTGAAACGAGAGATCGATATGCCCTCAGTTAAAGGTGTGGAGTGGTTAAGTTTTGCCCCTTCTGCCTGCCCTGCATGTGAAGTATGTAGCTGGCTAGTTAATCGAAAACGATCTAGGTGACTACTGTGCCACACAAGAACAAGGAAAAATCTTCCTCAAACTGACAGCTTCCAAAAGATACCCAGTGAAGTTCAAAAAGCAATACAATAATTGTGGCCAATGTGTGAGCTGCCAGACTTTATTAGATCTTCCCAAACAAGTCTGTCGCAAAAAAAGATGACTCACACCAAAAATCCAGAATGATAGATTTGGGGCAATATTATCTGCATTAAACTCTGGGGGAACATAACGATGAGTCTTATAGTGCATCGCTTGAAGAGAATTAACATCGACGAAGACAGCATACCCTGTCGAACATACCTACTGGATTTTATAATGGAAACAGAGAAAATATCCTTGCCTATATGCGTGTCACGTCGATGGTCAACACAGGGATAATCCGAAGTTGTAGGTTCGTTATCAACCACCATAAGAATACATTTAATGAAATCATTTACTAGCAGCAGGGCATCAGCATTAAAAGAACTTTCAGCTTCTGCAACTGTGTACCGCTTCAAAACTCACAAAAAATGATTAACATTTTAAATCTGACCTTTTCAAAAGGTGAATATGCCATTCTACACTTTCCTGAGAAAAGGAGTCAAAATAACGAGAATAAATACTAATTTCAAGCGGGAACTGGAGCAGGTTAAGGTCAGGTGCCAGTTGTCTGACGTTCGTCAAAATGATCACCTTCCAAAAGGAATCACTTTAGAATGGCCCCACGACTTGGGAATCGCTCAAAGCGCGGCAAATATATACATCAAGAAAGTACGACGTAACTCCTTATTACATTTTGTACTGCAAGACCTATTTTGTGTATTCCTGATATCGCAGCTCATTAACACTCTACAACAGCGCCACATGGTTGATCAAGAGCTTATAATTATTCAACGAGAATAATAATTTTATTACTAGGGATGATCCAAGAATCATTTGATCAAATCATTGACTTTCAATTCGACCTAGTCGTTATAAGACGCATCTAACTGTTCGAACCCGAATATCCAATTACCTTAACTTGATACTTCAAATGGCATTTTAAGTACTGACCTTCGTCGTCATTTTCGACACTTTCATCGTAAATCATCAGTGAGGTCGACTTCATTTTCTCTCCCTCGTCTGCAGGAGTAGCGGGTGCCACATCTATGATTCTCTTTTCTAACGCGTCATTGATGGACAGCTGCTTTACAGTCGACATCACGTAATCGATTGGTGGTTCTGGAGGAGCCACAATATGGTGAATGACCGAGGTAGGAATTTGACAGACGGATGAAAGCGGCAGCGCGGGCAGATCTTGTTCGCCACTCAGCGGTGGTTTTGAAGGACAAGAAGCGGAAAGAGTCTGCGACCTGAGACTGCTGGTTGAGTGCGTCACTGGTCTACAGTAGTCGCCAACAACAGTCTTCAAGCCCGACGACGAGAGCGCCTGCTCAGATGTGCTTTGCTTTATGACAGCCATTACCCGCGGCGGTTCAAAGAACGACAGAGGGGGAGCGACTGGAATGTTCGATGAGCCGGGGACGGCGGTGGTCTGTGGACCTGAGTGGGGACACTCACAGACGACGTCCTTCGGCAGGCCAGTGAGGCTGGAAAATATTGGTTTCTGTGTGCGGCTGCGATGTTCCTCTGGCAGAGAATTAGTCTTCAGGTTGTCCCTCGCCTTTAGCCGTTGCTCGAGCGACGCGTTCAGCGCCGCTGTAAACATCTGGTATGACGAAAGGTTCGCGACACTGCGACGCTTGTGTGCCTTATCAACTTCTTCAGCAGGCTTCTCTGATGTCAAGCTGCCATCGGTGGCGCCTGACTGATTCTCGAAAACCGACTTGATCTCGTTCAATGTCTTCCTGTGTTGCTGAACTAAAACAGATTAATGTGACATTATTAATGACAGAAATCGGTTAAAAATTACTTATCGCGATTTTAGTGTCTTTTGCCATGCATTCATTTTCCCCAGATGATATCTTTCGAAGGATGACTGCATTTTCTTCATCACGTTTTGCTGCTCCATTTTCGAACGTGCATACATTGGCGTCTGGAACATCAGCAGCAGCAGTAACCTTAAAAACTAAATGTTTGTAGTGTCTCTGAGCCCAAATTATATGCACCGATAAACAGGGTGATTAGCCATCCAATAACATTTGGAGCATTTGTTTCATCACTGCATTACAAGACCACATACCAGTGTATCTCAAACTTCGGATTCCAAACAAAATCGCACATTACACCTAAGCCTTCAAAGAGCGGGTTTCACGTTGTATGCTTCTAATAAACTTTCACAATAGAAGCTTATTTTCGAGGTATTCCATTGTGATCGCTAAATCAGCGTTCGGTTAGTAGAACAGACGACGACAAACGTGTTAGGCAGAGTATAGAAGGATGCCTTCCATATTTCGTACGGAAGATATGAAAGCAATCGTAAATGAGATCACGCCTTTAAGTCAAACTGAAAATCTAGCTCGGACAAAGCGACGCGATCAAACAGTATTCAGTATTGACTGGATAATGATATGAAAAAGGAGACTGTGAACTAGCGACAGATATTATGGTCTCTAGAACGGCATTAGGAGCAGAATAACGCAGGATTAATTTGTCCACGAGCAGCATTCGGCATCAAACAATCCGATAGCTTAAGTACCCTATCATTAGACAACATCATAAGGGAGTCCTGCGAGACTGAATCTCACTGATAAACTATACGGTAGATGAGGAAGACATGAATAGGATCAGAAGACTTTAAACAATTTTACATTTTTTAGACTGTTGCGAACGATGCATCTAATCCTACCGCTCAAATTGGAAATAACGACGGCCATCTCCTACGGGTCTATGACGATTCGCCGCGAGACGTTTCGCGTCGATCGACAGTCGTTATAAACGTGTAGTCCTTTGGCGCGCGTTGATTCTATATTACTGGACTGTGGTTATCTCCATCAACTGTAATATTCAACCAAGCAACTCATATATCTATGAGAAGCACTCCAAGATCACAATGTGAAACTTCTGTCAAACTCGCAGATTCTAAGATTTCGTTCATCATCAAAAGTTTATTATTTATAAATTAACATGTCCCAAAAACAACAAACAAAAACATGAAGCATCTGTCAAATTAGATGCGAAATTGCCAAATTATTTACAAAATCTAAATTTGTTTAAACTTTAAAGTGAACCTCTCATAGAAGAACAACGAGCTAATGTACAACGCAACTTTGTTTATGTAGCATATTGGTCAGTTGTAATACTGAAACCACAGTGTTACATATCCATGAGAGGCCGTCGTGAGCTCCGAATTGGGAATGTCATACCCGTCGGTATGGAAGCTAAATGTGGTCCGTAAAATTCAAAAGAGCCGCGAAATCTACTACGAACAACTTGCCGGTCATCAAGCACGAGTAAAATTGAAGAAATATCGGGATGCGGACGAAAGAACACAATCAGTTGTGGCTTTAAACAAATTTAAATTTTATGAAATAAGTGGGAATTTCGCAATTAATTTGAAAGACGCTTTGTGATTTTTTGTCGTTTTTGGCAGATATTAATAAATAAATAATGAACTTCTGATGATGAAGGAAATCTTAGAACCTTCGGAATTCATTAGTTTGACATAAGTTCCACATTGTGCTCTCGAAAGCTTCACATAGAAGGTAGGTTGGATGTTACAGTTGATGGAGATCACCACGGTCCAATCATATTAAATCAAACGTGCGTCACAGTACCACACGTTGACATGACTATCGATCGACGCGAAATGACCTGCGCCGAAACAGCCCACTCCGTATCTCCTAAACCGAACTTATAAGAGATATAGCCCTGACACACAGTGGCTACCATTTCCCTATTAACCGACACCGTTCTGTTGTTTGGTAGATGGCCAGAACCGATAATGGTAATGCCCTAGGAACAACAAGTAAGGAATTTCGTTCCTTAGCGAAGGGCGATAATCACTGAAGAAACTTTTGAAACCATCGACCTTCAAACACGAAAAGATTAACAGGCTCTGAAGATCTGACAGAAGCTACAATAAAACGTCACTGACATAAAGCAGCCTTCAATGGTTCACCCATTTGAAAAAACACCTGGCGATTACGCAGATATTGTTTTAATTCCCATGATAATACCAGGGAAGAAAAGAGGATGTAGAAAAAGCAGCCAATGTTAAAAAGAACCCTCGAAATTGGGCATGACAAAACGCTTGATCAATGTTCGAAGAATCAGGAGGAAAGTAGCTCACACAAACCCTGCAAAGGAGAAAATTCTAGGAGACGAGTGTCCCGAAACGTCAGACCGCTAGTCCAAAGAGATGTCATGTCAATCCGGCAAACGCATAAAGTTTTAGACTACACTGCGCATTCAACAATGAATGCCAACACAAAGCGAAATAACTACCCGCTTACCTCATCAGTGAAAGGAACGGTAAACCTGAGAAAGGCTGTCCCTGAAGATGCTTTTTCATCGGCTGAAAAAAATACATGTATAAAAGTGTCGAATGAGGTGACAGATAATTTGATTACCTTCATCTACCGTGTGAAACCTTTCTTCCACCGTAACCGACACATTTTCGACCGGGCAAACTTCAGGTGCAGGCGGCTTTTCTGCAGGCTCTTGGCCAATAAAACGCGATGCAACTAAAGCAAATACATATATGCATATAAAGAAAGCAATTCGTATCACCGCCTCAGTTAACCACTTTTCGATATTACATTTTAGGATTTAGCCACATTTTATTAGCATTATGAACCTATTCGGCTATATTTTGGAAGACGATATCTGCAGGCTGCACACCATAAACTAACTTATACTACAATACATACAACTGACGCCTTCAGTACATATTTTACAGCAAAATTTAACTTGAAAAAACGTCTTGATAATTATGTAGACCAACTGGGCCAAAAATTGCGATGTCGCATGCTGATCTAACAAAGATGAGGATGATACATGATAGTGATAACAGCGCCTGCGATGATGAAGACAAATGTCATATCGTTATGAGATAATGAAGATGATGATAAAGTCGATCATGATGGTAAAGGTCCAGGTAATGGTTATGAAAACAGTCATGTTATGACAATGGCCATGTGACATGTTATGAGAATCATAATCGTCATCATATCCACGATCAACATGCTGAAAACGATTGTCAACATAAGAATAATGTGACAATGACGAACGTGACTATGACCATCACGTCGTGTAAAATCATTATCAGAATGGTAACGGAGCAGTCCCCAATCACAAGACGCAGTATTTTAATTGTTCAATTTCCGTCAGATTAAAACAGCAAAACGACGCAGAAAATAAAAAATTTTATCGTGAAAAAGAAGCGAGAAGTAAAGACTAAAACAACAGATCAATTGCGTTGAGTTTAGTTAATCCATACTAGCTTAGAGTGATGAAGACTACAGCAAAATTAGAAAAAATGATACTGGTGATAACCACAGTAATAATAGTCATCGCCATAACTTTATGTTGAACAAACTCGAGACGATAACATGACTATGATTGTCGTTGTAATCATTATCACTGTCAACCTGCTGATTAAAATGTGATTAACAAAACAACGTCAACTTGTCACAGATTTTTATACTGACAAAGGAAATCAAACACAGACCATTAAGTACACGTACTAAACGGTCGAAGTTTGGCTTAAAATAAACGAGAACGTAGATGAGAGAATAACGATAAATGATTAAGCCATCCACAAAAAGGATCTGAAGCTGTGATGCTGATGATGTAGTTACGGCCAATGAAGTTATATATTATCACGGCCGATGAAGTTATGTATATTACTGCAGCTAAGGAAGCATATTACCAGTGAATACCTATTGATAATAATTAAAATTTTAAACAGCGGTGAAAATGCAACTGAAATGGATAACAATAACGAGGTTGAGGAAGGTCTGAAAATCACTTCAAAATGACGATGTTGACAGTAATCATTTACTTTAACCGACTGCAATGATCATTGCCATAGATATCATCTTTGCAGTGGCAACTTTATTCAGTCACTTAATGGATTTCATTGGATTTAGGGTTTGTTATACTTGATTGCAATTTGAATCTGATGCATGTGATTACGGTGCTAAAGATGACAGTGTTGATACAGTACCACTGCTCAAGACGATAATGAAAGCAATGGCAAAAACGAATCAAAACGAGCGGTCAACCCATAGATTAAGGTTTTTGACTGATATAATCAAGGTTCGTAATTTCTCGGCTGTGTGAAGATGACATTATGAGCATTATGAGCATTTTGGATAAAAACTACTAAACATAGTCCATCGTACTGGTATCACAGCGACAAATCTAAACAATCAATTATTATATTATTGCAACTGGTTATAACTGATTAATCTATCTAGCTTCGGACACTTTAAAGACGCCGGCACCAGGTGGCAACATGCGTGACTTTCTCACGAGGATACGAATTACATTATCCATTAAAGATTATTCGACTCACCGGTCAGGAATTGAACAAATACGCAAAAACTTGATGACGTTTAATGGTTTTTTCACCCTTAAGGCAATGGTATGCATAACGACTAATGTTCGTAATATAATATTCGAAAATACTCGTTGTGTTGGAGTGAACAGCCGCAATTCAAGTTTCACCTTTCTAATGATTGCAAGAAGGCTTGTCAACATGTAACTCAGTTTCTGCGTAAACGTGCTTGACTGTTTGCCATCGGATAAATAACTTAAAAACGATCGTTTTTCAATTATCTGGCTGTGTGATACTATAGTGACTTCGATCTCTGTTCAAATATATGTAGTATTATTTATAACTACGCGATAAAATAAGGGACAGGCATTACGTTTATTCTCCTCATTTTGATAAATGACAGAAATCTGTCACAGAATGACACCGCAGAGTAAGCTAATTATGTATAAATCGCAAACGTTTCATATCAAAAATCTGGAATGTGTTTTCATGAGTGGTAAAAACAAATAAACTAATCCAAATCAAAGGATGGCACTGACATGCTTATTTCATTTCACTCACTGGAGATGAATTACAAATTACGCAAAACGTCAGAAATTTCTGGCATTTTGAATCTGACCCCCGCAAAACAGATACTACCTATAATTATAAACATATTTTGCTAAACATCTTTGCATATGCTACAGAGAGCAAATGATGCAATATTAACAAAAAACTGAAGGATCCACCTGAAGAACTGCTGTCCTCCTTCTTAAGGGCATCGTACAGATCGTCCAGAATTCGGTCAGCTGAACTCTGAGTGCTGTCGCCGCTGTGGTGAGAGACAGGAGACATTCGATTTGTTTTGTCTGTCGCTTCCTCGCTGGCGCCGGTAATTACGGTATCCACCGCCTCACTTTCCAGTGTCATCGTCGCCGATGTCGAAGTTGTCTCTTTGTCAACTTCCACGCTAACCACCGGACTACTTTCGACTTCTTCTTTGTTCAAATGCTCTGTCGACTCGGCCGTCAAATCGAGTGTGGATTCAGTGATGTCCTCGCCATTCGTACTTGTTTGGTAAAGTAACTGCCTGACAATTCTGCTACCTATAACAAGTAACTAGTGAACAAGTCGTCAAGCACTCCGTCGAGTTTTAACTCCAATGTTGCTGAAAACTCATAGTTGATGAGTCTCAGGATATTAGATATTAAAGATTAATCATATTCCTGATCGTCGACAAGCTACATGTCAGCCTGGGGGTACGTATACATGTATGTATCGATGGGAAGACGGTGCACTTTTACATATGTGAACTTGAAGATGACAAGACGTACAAAATTGCGGTCATTTCAATCATGGGGTAAATACGATCAAAAGTGATGACAGCTACGCAGTTTAGACAACACTGTCAATGACCTATTAACAGAAACAGATATGGCGACGCTCAACAAAAGTGGACGAAGGCTAAACTGAACCCTTTAGTTTGCACTAACGTGTAAATAGTAAATAAAGTCATTTACTGTCATGGGACAAATTAGGAGTTTCAGAACTGGTGGTGAGTTCCGAGTTCGCCTCAGAGTCCAAGCTGTCACGACTTCGACGGTCCTAAAGTAGTAGCCAAGTTAGCAGAGCGGACGGTGAAAAATGTAAGCAACGATTTCTTTTTTACTTCTTCGAACTCCTCCACTTGCTCTTCGATCACTTCGGCCTCCAGTTCGCTGATGAGCTGCAAAACTGGCTTGCGGTCGACCGCATCTCTGATGAATGGATGCTAAAACAGATCGATTTAGGTTGCAGTGCAAAGATGAACAACGCCGTACGAACGTTCAAAAGATCCACAGCGGCGCTTCTGTCACTCGGATTCTTGACAAGGCACTTTTGAAGGAAGTCGTGAAATGCAAACGACCTAAATAGATTCATGATCAGGTCTCTAAATTACGTTGCATAATACTGGATATCACTTCTCTTTAAGATATGTAATATAAAAAATTAAGATCATTAAATTAGCTTATTTATGAAGATACGATGACTGATCTCAACTGTAAAAAACTTTTACCATTTTTTCGGTACAGCCAATTTAGGAGGATCCGATTTTTGGATTTTAATTAGCACCCGCATCGGTCCAATTTCATGGTACGGTGGTTCCATTTCAGCAAGCTCTATTAGCGTTATCCCGAGAGACCATATATCCGCTTTTTGATCATACGGTTTATCCTTGAAGGTTTCACAGAACATCACTTCGGGTGCCATCCTTAAAATATAATACTATTTAATACATTCAGCATATGCCATGGAAACTTCCAGCAAATGAAATATATTGCGCGTGGCATAGTTTCCTTCATCTAGGACGTCATTTATGACAGGAAAGAATCCATGGCCAAAAGCGGTTATAAAATAGAAGAGAAAGGGGATGAAGAAAAGGGTAAACGAAAAAGATGAGGACGAGAATAATATGGAGCATACACACAGACACATATATACATACATATGCAGATATATACGAAACATAATGCTGCTGTGTAGCACTAAAAACAAGTTGCAAACTGATACCTGAAGAAATCAACGAAAACTTACCAGTATGGAGTGCCAATGAAAGAATCCCGCTTCTGTAAACTATCGTTGTTTTTCGCAGAAACACCGAAGTCGGCTAAAAAGGGAACAGTTGAGTATTTAATCAAACGAACTAATACAATCAGTGTACAACAGTACAATCGAAATTCAGAAAACTATTTTGAAATTATTTCTGAATGGCAAACATGCATAACACTGAAAAATTTAAAGTACTAAACAATTCTATGATTAATGGTTTATCTTTGGTTTGGTTTCAGAAGACAAGATTTTCAACCTGTCATCTGCTTTAAACGCTGCCCCTCCCGAATAACTCATAAAATAGACTAATATGCGAATTCATCATCAATCGGTCCGTTACTCGAAGACTCGGCATATACTTCTCAAATCGGCAGCAACTTCTCAAAATTCGCCAGAAAAAGTCTGATCATACGGAAAACAATCCGGGCGTTATTCATACGTCAGTTCTTCTGCCATGGTTGTTCAACATGCTTACGAATGACTGTCAAAATAATGAACCAATCATATGCTGAAGACACTGCCATTTTCAGATCTATACAGTCGTCATTGACAGCTTACAGAGACGGTAAGACCAAAGACATGATCCACCGCAGCCAGCTAGTTGTACAAGTCCTACACATGACACATTTAAGAGTTGTTTATCTGACTTCATGTACACCATAATGAAACTGTAGTGAATCGATGCTGCAAGGCGTCGTTATAAGCCAAAAGATTGATGACGCTGTATGACTAAGGTGAAGTTATTAAAACGTTTCTCTTGCCCTGTAATATTTTATGTAGTCTCTAACATTCATCCGAGACTAATGACCTGCGACTTTAATGCAAGAAGGTCAATGAGACTTGTCTAAAGACTCAGTGGTATTCGATAAAACGAATTAGTCCAACGTTTTCCTGAGTCATCAGTCGTGTATGATATACGAATGGACAGTAACATATTCAATAAACCTATCTCATACTCTTTGTGAAAGCCTTGCTCAATGCCTCAGTGAATCTACCAGGTGACTCCTGGCAGATTGCGCACCCATTCAAAAAGAAGAAAAGCTGAGATGCAGGTCAAATCAGAATATGCGGAACGTTTCCGCCAGAGCATAAACCCAAATGAAATTCGTCCGCAAGAAACACACAATACGACCAACGAACGAACGCAGCCTCTAGACGCCTGAAAGATACAGGCTGAACATTGCCCCGGCTATTTCGTAAATCCACTAATTTTACGTTGTGCTTATGAACCATTCTATAATCGGTAAGTATAAGGCATACGACTACTAACAGGTCAAATTCAGGCAAATGAACGCTTTCCTCGAATGACCTGTAAACGTAACAAACAACAACATACACCAGATATATTAGAAAACTGACCTAATCAACATACGGAACAAAATAATCATCCAGTTACCTAATTTTACATCCCCATCGTCCGTCAACAATATATTACCCGCTTTAAGATCACGGTGAATCACGTGCATCTTGTGCAGGAAGCACAGCGCTTGGCATACTTCATGACAGATATAACCGATCTGCGGCTCTGTCAGTGGTTTTTCCAACTCTACCATGATGCTGTCAACAGCTCCCGCTCCGCAGTACTCAAGCATCATCTGAAAAAGAGAAAAATGGTAAACATGAATGACAATCAATAAATCAAGAAATTAGCAGCAAAATTCATAATATGCCTCAATATATTCTAAGTATCTGTAGCATCTAAATTCACACTAAGCAATAACAGTGAGTCTTAATTCTAAGGGCTTAGCGGTACTTTTAAGCATGCCACGACTTCGCGGCATTATAGCACCTGTAGCGCAAACGCGTCAAATCGCATTACATCTGTCTTTAAATTAATAACTTGCGGTTCATGGATTTCCGTCTGAAAAACGTTCATAAGTAACGAAGGCTTCAGCAGAGCATAGCCTTCTATCCATTGAATCGCTGCTGTGCTTGTGTATACTATGAACATTGCCTTGAGAGGTCTACAAAAAAAGCGAGTCTCTAGTTGTAACCTTTATTGCATTCTCCACATTTGTAATAAGACGCCGCTAATGAATCGTTGAAGGAACTATTCTTATCTTAAATCAGATCTGCGCATGCCCTTTTGATCCAGATTTAAAAGATACAGTTGAGATGACTTGGGTACGTTTTACACGATGCTGCTAGGATAAACACGTACTACTCGCCCAACCAGTCGACCACCGAAGATCTCGGAGCAGTAAATAACCAATTTTGGAAAATGCCTTGATAAAATTTGTCCCAGACTTCTAATTTAATACTTCGAGAGTCCATTAAACAGTCAGTTGCATAATTATTACTATAAAAAGTAATGCTCGCACATTTTTATTGCATAATGTTCCAAAATGAGTAGAACGAAACTGAATGAGTTTTGTGGAAGTCTGGAATCAGTGTATCTTTTAGATCGAAATTAATGGGAACAATATTCAGCTTACACACTGCCTTCATAAAATGAATTAGACTTCACATTTCCGAGATGCGTATGCACATGTACCTAAGGACAAGGGTACTTTAGTTGGTGTCAAAACAGGATGACATTCGGCCCACGACAATGACGCGGTTTTGCCGTGTTCTGCTTTGCCACAAACTGCTAAAAATAAAACAATTGCCTTTGAAACCTTTATTCTGAACCAACACTTAAGAAAAACCACACTGTCCATTTCAAGGGAACGTGTAACGTGTAATTCTAAATCTTCAGTATGGTGTAAGAACTGCAAACGATTATACTAAAGCTTTGCGACGATCAACGATGTTTGCTGGTCTATGAGCCATACAACAGAACAAGAAATATAATGTATTAATTATTATTACACATTTTTAATCGTTTATTAATTAGTTACCCAAAGGTTGCGCTCGAAGAAATACGCCTCGTGTAAACCGACCACGTTTTTATGGTGGCATTCGGTCAGGATTTCAATTTCGACCAGAAAATCGCTCAGTTCATCGTCTTGTTTCAACTCGATCGCTTTGGCAGCCGACAGCACACCGGTTGTCCGGTGACGAGCCTTCTGTACCTTTCCAAAGGCGCCATCGCCGATCTCTTCGATCAGTTCCCAAGACTGGCGCGGGTCGACATCGCACACAATGTGCTGAAAAGCGCTGCTGCGACGATAGTCGACCGATGGGTTCGTGTAGCGGAACAGGTTGAGGAACTTGTCGATGAACGGCATGGCCGCGGTCTTTAAATACGTTTATTGCTGCCTTCGAGCAGTTACCACATTGTGGACACGCTTTGGTGTATTACGTTGGACATAAGACTGAAACACATACGTGAAATGACGGAAAGATACAATTATATTAGTACGAATCACCGAACAAAACCGAAACAGAACACCTGATCAAAAGAAATTGACGTATAAAAGCCGAAGGCATGCCGCAGTCACCATCGCACGAGGCAAATGATATTCAGTTGAATCACAGCAAGACATGAAGGACAACCTATGGTCCAGACAGCTGAACCCACACTTGGAGGATCTTTCATGAAGAAGGTCACATAAGCATGCAGTCTAAACAATACCTAAGTATATTAAATTGTGAAAAACTGTACTGCATATCTGTAATCCATTACAAACAGAAAGAGTACAATGTAAATGAAACAGACTATAATATGTCAGTGACAGAGTGCATTATGAGAATTATACAATACGCAGCATGTAGTTTGGACTATACATAGCTGCTAAATATAATAAGCATATTGGACTGCCAGTGTCTGATAGAGTACGTGTGGAAACTGAATAGAGTACAACAGAATGATGTATAGGCTACAAACTTACAGACACGGTTCTCATAAAGCAATACTGTTCTGTTTCAGTCTGCAGATGAAGTAATAACAAACCAACGGGATACGGAATAATGCATATTCTGGGTGCCGTGTATTTCGAAATACACAACATATCCATCCTATACTTCCTAATGCATTAAGCTGGTAGACATAGTGTGACCACACTGCACTGCTCAAGTTGATACGTGATTTAGCATCTCATGAGCTGGAAGCAACACAACAAACAAACTACGCAAACTTAAAGTACAATCTGATAAGACCCTAGTAAAAAATCTAGAAACAACTCTACTTGTACTCTACATTATACCAAGAAAATATGCCATTACAGTATTAAGGGTATTACAATACATATATTTTACAGTCTAGAGAACAAGCTCTGCCGATTGCAGTAAGAAAATCTACCAACTTGTTTCGCATAGTGTAAAGTACACGAAAAGCTGCAAGCAGATTTTTTACTATGCTTTCTTAGATTTTACTTTAGACTCTACCAAGCTTGTTGGAACAGATTTCGAGCTACAATCTCTACTGTACTTGCGTGGACACCGTTCTGAATGTTGATCCTCTTCGGAATTTCACAAATAATTTAGCAATATATCAGAGCATTATTAACAAGCATTTTGATGCCGAAGCAGACGCTGATGATAAAACTCGGTCTATTTTCAAAGCTATTATCTTTTGGCATATTCGAAAGACATCATTTTCCGCACAAAGATACTACGTAGGACATTCAATGTTTTGCTTGTTCTGTTATTTTTGTTGTCTGAGATGAACTTCAGGCCAGTATGAAACGTAGAGAAACAGGGTTGCTGAGAATCTGCGATCCTCGTAGCGGACCTCACAAACAGAAACATTCTACTAATGCAAATCGGTCGAAGTTGTTTTTCAAGAAACTCATCTTTTTCAAAAGATATACAGCGTAAACGGAAGATTATGGTTCTAGGCTAAATAATGATCACGGCTCCAATGACCTTGAAGCCTTTCATCCGAGTTTGTAATTAAAGTATACTACTCTTTAGAGATGAAGCATACGAAACTCTGCTAACCTACTCTGGAGGCCAAGTGTAGATCGTGACTCGTTTTCACAGCTATAGGTCCTATACTGCAGAGATATTTTAGGATTGAACATAAGCTTAAGTTTGTTGTCCCTAGAAGAATAGCATATACGCCATATCCTCTATGCAGAACTTAAATAAATAAACCTTACATCATGTAAGGTACGACATGTAGCAGCGAAAATAAGTCACGAACTTCATCGTTAGCAGACCAATAAAACAGTAACCACGATAACATACCTTCCAAAGATTCAAAAGAAAGTCTGTAAAAAGAAACAATACTTTCACAACATCCCCGGATGAAAGGACTGAGGGATGATGGGGCCACGATCTGCACTTTGCTTTTATCATAAACTTTTCCATTATGCCGTTCTATTTTTTTAAAAGGTAAAGCTGATGTAACAGGTTCTAGCAATTGCCTTTGTGACGTGCCAGTAAAAGAAATGCTATGACTACTGTCTTTGACTCAGCCAACTATACGATCCTCATGATATCTGTAGATGGATATCAGAAAATGAATAAAAATAAACATCATTCTTTCCTGGAGCCTTTTCTGACGTGCTGTAATGGCATCGCGCTGTCTGCCTCCTCCGTTCAGAAAGGGTAGCGACT